AATATAACATGATCTGACTGACATTTTAACAGGATCACCCTGACTCCTGTGGTAAAATAAAATTCTATGAAGCAGGTGGTCTTGGCCAATATCACAGATGAGGAACAGAGGCTCAAAGAAGTTAATTTACAAGAGTTCCCATTTATCAGCAAATTAGTGGGGCTGGAATTTTAATCTAGGACTGTGTAACTCAAAAGCTCACACTTTCCCCACTAAATCACACCACTTCCCAATTGCAAACAGGTTTGTGACACAGGTTGGAGTAGATGACTTTCTTATAGTCTATAGTGATCTCTTTTTTCCTTTTTCTCTGGAGTTCCTTGGCTTCTCTGGTGAGGCCATCATGTCACACAGCTCCAGAGAACATCATTTATACCATAAGTCTATAAATGTACTCTCTAGAGGTGGGGAGTATCCAGCCTAAGTAGCCATATGGGCTTTTCTACAGTGAGATTGAAGACCTTTATAGATGGTTTTAAATTATGATTGAGCCGGTAGCAAAATCTGTTTGGTTAGACATTTGTATTGGCCCCACTTTGATGTATCTTTCCATTTCTCCTTCCTCAGACACATATCCTACCATCTACCTCTACCACTGCCTGCCATCTGGCAACATACTGGTCCAACAGTATGCCAGGTTGGGATATAAGTGATGGTAAGGCAGGATTTTCTGCTCTGTATGAGCAGCTTAGGCTGACAGGCGTAAGAGAAATCGCCTGAGGGGAATGTAGGATTTGAGCAGGTGTGCCAGGCTTCTGATTAGAGGATGAGAAACACATTTTGTTTGATGAATATCAAATTGAAGGAAATGATAAAGGGTGCTACCAAATTGTCATCTAAATTGTGGCTTGGTTTAATTTAGAGTCAACCAGATTGTCTTCTAAGCCTTAGAGCCCAAGGCTTACACTCTTGAGATATTGTTTACATCAAAACTAATTTTTTTTTAGCTTATTCAAAAGACATTGCTTTGACTTTAACAATTCAACATGTAAGAAAATACCCTGAAATTCAGAGTGTTAAATTTAAGTTTTTGTTCACCATTACTTGACTGGGTTACTTTAATGGAATTAGGTCTCATAAAACTGTTTGGCCCATTTCATGTTTCAAAATTCTGCTCAGTTACCTCAATGTACTAGAGCAGTTTGGCATTGTTTTTTGGAGTCTTATGACTTTAATTACAAAAACAGAGAAAATCATGGCAGTATCCCTTATAAAATTAAAAAATATTTTAATGGTCTATATAAAATATTAGCATCAGGAATGTAATGCAATGTTGAGTAAAGGCAAAGGTGACTTGCCATTCAAATCTTTTTTTTTTTTTTAAATTAAATATATTTTTATTGATTTCAGAGAGAGGAAAGTAGAGGGAGAGAGAGAGATAGAAACATAAATGACGAGAGAGTCATTGATCAGCTGCAGCCCACAACCTGGGCATGTGCCCTGACCGGGAATCGAACCCCGATCTCCTGGATCCTAGGTCGATGCTCAACCGCTGAGCCACGCCCGGCTAGGCACCATTCAAATCTTTAAGATTAGCAATAGTAATCACAAAACACCAAATCAATACAATTACAGCTGCTTTTTAAAATGCATTTTTATTTCCCTTAAATGGTTGGGCAGGAAGTACCAAGATCAGACTTTACTCTCAGACCTTATTTCAGGTTCATTCTGAAGGTTTAGATGAGGAAGGGCTATGTTTGATGGAAGTTGGCTTTGTTTTTGTAGCTGCTGCTAAGCAAAAATGGAGTATGCAGAAAACAAGTTGGTGGGTGTTCAATAGGTTAAACATAATTACTATGTGACACAGCAATCCCACTCCTGGGTATATATTGGAAACAGGTGTTCAAACAAAGACTTGTACGTGAATGTTCAGAGCAGCACTATTCATAACAGCCAAAATGTGGAAACAACCCATATGTCCATTGATGCATGAATGGATAAGCAAAATGTGGTATATTCATACAATGGAATATTATTCAGCCATAAAAAGGAATGAAATACTGACCCATGCTACAACATGGATGAACATCAAAACATTATGCTAAGCTAGAAAAGCCAAACAGAAAAGGCCATACTGTATGATTCCATTTATATGAAATACCCAGAATTTGCAAATTGCTAGAAATAGAAAGCAAATTAGTGGTTGCCAGGTGGTCAGAGGGCTATTGGGGAGGAGGAAAATGGAGTGACTGCTTCTTTGGGGTGATGAAATGTTTTGGAATTAGATAGAGGTGGTAATCATGCAACACTGTGAATGTACTGTCACTAATGGTAAATTTTATGTGTATTTTACCATAATAAAAAAATGGAGTGTACACCTTATGATAAAATTCCTATTTTGTGGTGAAACCCATTAAAGATTGACAGGGTTGGGTGAATTCTAAAGAAGGTGCATGTGGCAAACTCAGGGGAAGTGGTGGCAGCCTCTTGAGTTCTGCAAAAAAGGCTTGTACTTTCTGATTGGGATCGCTGGTGCAGGGACCTGCCTCACTTGAGCGCAGCTGCCACACAAGGCTGTTACTCTGGGCCCCCTGTTGTCCTACATGACTAAGGGCACTTTTAAGTCTGGGGGAACTTGTTTGAAATTCTCACATAAAGCCGTGGAAAGCTGTGGAATACTGAGCCATTTAAAGCCCAAGCATACAGAAACCTAGCAGATATAAATTTTAACTGTAGTAAGGCCAGGATAATTTCAGTTTATCAAATGAAAAGAAAAATGAACTTTTATGACCTGGTGGTGCTAGAATAAGTTTACTTAAAGGTGTGTGGAAAGTTTCTAGTTATTGCTGTACATTCTTTTCCCTGGTCCTTGGGTATATGCCACTTCTTCACACCATTTTCTACCCTTAAAAGGAAAAAGCTTTCAAGTGTTGTTGTTTTTTTCCCTCTTGGATAGTGAAAGTAATATTTGATTATTACAAAAATTTAGAAAAAGCAGACTATCTATCTATCTATCATCTATCTATCATCTATCTATCTATATCATCTATCTATATCTATCAGCAATCAGCAATAATGCTGTAGATGTTTTAGCATGTACCCTTCTAGTCTTTTTTTCTATGAATATATATGTACTACTATCTTCAGCTTCACTGGGATCATATTACATTTATCAACATAGCATGAACATCTTTCATACCAGTAAACACACTTTTCATGGTTGCATATTGTTCCATTTTATGTATATGTCATGACTGACTGTTCCATGACCAATGTTCTAAATGAGTCGGGGCTTTCCTGGGAGTGGTTACTTCATGGTCATTTAACCCTCAGTCAGAGATGATTGGTGGCTCAGGGTTTCTGAAATTATTTTCTTTTATTTATGCTGCTCAGTGATAGTCCTCAAAGCAGAGGTCTTGCATGGTAAAGGGAACACAGGTCTGTAAAAAATTAGTTCAAAACCCACTACCCTTAGGAAGCTTTCCCTGACTGAGACCTACTCTACCTGGCCACTTTGTCTTCTGTGTCCCAACAGAAGGGGACAGAATAGTATACAGGAGCACAGGCTGTGGAGCCAGATTGCAAGGGTTTGCATTCTGATTTTTGTGACATTGGGCATATTACTTAACATATCTGTGCCTCAGTGTTCTCATCTGTAAAATGAAGTTAATAGTAGTACCTAGCTTCTAATCCAGATGAGATGATCCATGCCAAAGGTACCTGGCAGCCCAGAGCCTGGTACATAGCTAGTACTCGATGAATGGCAAGCTTTCTTACTCAGTTCTTTAAGTGGTCCTCTCAGTTGATGGTTTTGAGAGCTCATCTGTATGCTTGAGAAGTCCTATTTGATTATAGACTCTGAAAATTTCAGATGCCAAAGTGACTTTACTACATTCCACACAGTGAGCCCCCAGCCAGAATTACTAATTGGTTGACCTAAACTGACTTGCTGAAGTTGTGGAGTCTTCTTAGTTGAATTTGGCCTTCATTTCCCATTAAAAAACAAAAGGAAAACCCCAGAAACCCTGAGAAGTGGATGTAAATGAAATGTAGTTCCTTCAAATAGGTGAACATCATAACTGGGCTTTCCTACACTCTAAGGAAATTCTTGACTAGGAGAACCTAGAATTCTTAAATGATAGTGATAATGACAAGAAATATATAAAAGGACTGAAAGCCATTATTCTGAAAGTTCAGTCTACGGCAGAAGAGCACATAAAATCTTGTATTTCTTCACTTATTTGGTATTCTTGGGAACTGAATTATTTCCAGTAAATAAGTTTTCTAGATGATGGAAGTTTATTCATTGAATCACCATTTGAGTTTGAATTTTAAGTATTTTGATGTAATTCTCTCTAATGCATGCTGCATGATTTATAGCTTTCATATAGAGAAAAAATAATTCAGCCTATTTGTTGGGCTTTGAATCTGCATCATTAATATGTTGTTATTTTTTCTTTTAGCTCTGCCAAATAATCTCAATGCCATTTGCCTTCTAAAGACTCAGACAACTCTACCCTTACACAGCTCTTTTCACTGTTAACGTTTTTTTTTCATTACTTTTCTCACTGGCAGGGTATGTTAGTTTTTACTTTTTACTACAGAAATGTGCTTAATTGCTTTCCCCATCTCCAAAACACTTTTTTTCATTTACTGATTGATAGATTTTATACCCTGGGAAACCAGTATCCCAAGCGTGTTACTATTTTGTGTAAAGGAAGATTAATAGGCATTTAATGAAATCATATATTTAGTGTTGTTTTTTCACCATTCAAGGACTTTAAAATTTTACTTCCTGGTTGCAGGCTATTATCTGGTAGGATTTTGACTCTGGGCAAAATGCCGTTTTATTAAAGCTATAGTGCTTATGGTTTTCTATTCTAGCACTGGTACTTTCTTGCCACTCAAAAGTTAAGTAGATAAATTAAAGAAACATAATCACTGGTCCTCTATGCAGTTGGTACAAGTTTTGTAAAATGGAATTTGAGTATTTTTCATAGAAAGAGAAGGAAAATATTCTTAAATATAATTTCATGAGTGTTTTTCCATTTTCTTTACAGAGACATACTGATGAGTATAACTGTTGGGAAACTCACAGAGCAAGAATTTATAACCATTGTACGTCACTATGGGGCGCCTGAGGAACCGTGTCTAGATGGGAATCTCCTACTTGCAATGGCCCATGAACAGCTCAAGAAAAATTTTTTTGAGAATTTTGAAAGACTCATTTCTTGCTGTATGTATGAAGATCGTGAAAAGTAAGTTTTTACTGATTCTAATAAATTAAGTTTCTGTGAACCTGAGTAATGAAGAAATTTATATTTTATCAAAAAAGGAAAAAAAATCAACATGTCTCATCATACTCTACTGTTTAGCAAAGCCTCATTAAATCATTTTTGGAGAATATTTGGGTGAAAATATTTCATAGTGATGGTGAGCTTTGTTTGTTGATGTATCTTCAAAAGAATAAGATGCTCTTTTGCATTTTCTTTTAATTTGTTTCTAGAAGATTTCAGCTGAAACAGCAAATTAAGATGTTAGAAGGTTTAATTCTGAGATTTTTTTCTTCTTACATTATTTTAGTGATAACTAGGTTTCATAAAAGGGACTTTTGTAATATACAGAACAGGGAATTTGCAAGTAAGCTTTCTTTAGAGTTTCTTTGAAATTATTTTTTCTTGAAAATAATGAATCTCAGCATGATCTATTTCTAGTACATTTATCATGTTTATATTAAGCTTTATTAAGTCGTTGTTATAAACAACTGGAGCCCCACCTTAATATGTTTTGTTGTTCATCTTACCCACAGACCTTATATAGTATGGGGGAGTACTCATCTGGAGTTAGAAAATCTTAGTTGTAACTATATTCTGACTTTGTTACTGCACTCCACTGACATCTCTCTTCCTGATGACCCCTTCCCTCAATCCCCAAACCTGAAGTCTGCACCCATGTAGCCAGCTGCATACCCTATGTTTTTGAAGATCCTATAGTTTATATTAATAATGAACATAATTTTTTCCTAATCAATAATATATTCTCGTTGAGTTTTTATAAAAATATTTTTCCTTGAATCTTTTCTCCCTGAGCCTCCCAGAGGATATGTGGCCTGAGTAACCCTTCCTCAGGGTGAAAAATGTAGCCCTCCTTCACTAAAGGAACATCTTTTGGGAATAATGGGGCTGCTTAGTTAGACATCTCTGAGATTTTTCCAGATCCGACAAGCTTCAATTCTAGACATAAATTTTCTCTTGTAATTTTATAACCTCATTGTAAAGAAAAAAACCCACCTTTTTTTCCTTTTGGCCCTAATGTTGCCTGGAAGAACATTGGCTGAGTGAGAACACTGGGCAAGCATTTCTGTCCCCCCAGCAGGTTGGGGAAAATTACTGTTAGGTTGCTCTGAAGAAAACATCTGACAAAATTGAGGTGAATGTTAAAGCCCCAGCTGGGGCTTCCAGGTTCTAAGGTTTGGGTCAAAGGAAAAGACTAGAAAAACACCCTCAAGTGATATAATACTTGTGTTAGAAGATCTAGATGCCTGTCAAATTAAGAGATGTTTTCAAATATCAGAACCATTTTTGACTAGTGGTCAAGAATGCATATTGATTACTTAGAGCAACACTCGTGGCTGCAGCCTTAATAGGCTACTTATCACCAAGAATCCGAATCTTGATGGAAAGACCTTTGTAAGGACAGAATCTGGTGACTCCTGAAATGGAAAAAGTTGATGAAATGCAATATGACTGTTTTTCCTCATTGTGAATTCCAATACCAATTTTCATACTTATTCTCATGTGCACATTTTTAGAATACAATGTATTCTCTTTCCTGTAGCATGCAACTGTTACTCAAGAGACTCAAAGTATATATAAGCTCATTTATTTTGTTTTAATCCAGAAAAAATGTATTACCCAGCAAAGACATCAGAAGACTGTGCAAGTCCTCCAGGTTACCTTTGACTGATGATCTTCTAGAAGCCTTAGTGTCCAGGTAAGTGAGATCTGCATTTTTCATGGGAATTATTCTTTATGTTTTTGTTTAGGAGACTATTTCTGGTTTTACATTTACCTTTAATTATCTTTGACTTACCCTTGACTGTTTTCATTATATTATTGATGACACACCTCCATTTAACTATTACAAAAGGAAAAGTTAGTTATGATTTTAAATGTTAGAGAGCTTATTATGAATTATTATTTTATCTTTTTACCATTAAGACACACTTGCATATACACAGGTTTGTGGAGCAAAATGAAAATGTACAACTTTATTGGTCATAAGGGTATTAGATGTAAAATTCAAAGAATCTTTTTCTTTTTCTTTTTAAAGTATATCTTTATTGATTTCAGGGAGAGGAAAAGAGAGGGAGAGAGGGAGATAGAAACATCAATGATGAGAGAGTCATCGATTGGCTGCCTCCTGCACACCCCCTATTAGGGATGGAGCCTGCAACCCAGGCATGTGCCCCTACCGGGGATCAAACTGCAAACTCCTGTATCATAGGTCAATGCCCAACTGCTGAGCCATGCTGTCTGGGCTCAAAGAATATTTTTCAAAGCAGTAATTCCTAATGGCTAAAGATATGCCATAAGAGGATATAGTGTTATTAACACAGGGCTCTATTCTGCTAGAGCACCATATGTAAAGCATAGAGTTTCTAATGTTGCAAAAGGAAAGCATGGTGAACTGCTTTCTAAATCAAATCATTTAAATCCTGGACCTTTCAAAGGCACACCCCCTCCTTCTAACCATTTTGAATTATTGTCTAAATAGCCAGTAAATTATATTGACAGTTCTACTCCTTCCTGCTTGCTTCTCCTCTCCATTCCCACTATCTTCACTTGTTCTGATCCACATTTCTTCTTAACTTTTTCAGGGTCTCCACATTGTTCTTTCTTCCACTAGTCTCTTAATTTTAAAAGCTATCTTTACATACAACAGCTAAATACCTTAGAGAAAAAAATATAATGTAACTCTTCTACTCACAGACCTTCTGTACCATTTCTCTGCTCTCAAAGAAAGACCAGACTCCTTAGTTTTGAACTCTTTTTCTCCATCATGGAGCTTAGGGTTGTCAGGTGGAGCATTGTTCTCAAGCAGGGTCTGAAGTAGGGAGTCCTCATCTGAGACAAATGAAGAAACAGAAGGAACAGATAAAACAAAATCCCATGTGGGAGAACTAGGACACAAGGTGTCAGGAGGGGAATAAAGACGAGAGCCATCCCTGACTGGCGTGGTAGGTTCGATTCACAGTCGGGACGTGTATGGAAGGCAACAGATTGATGTTTCTGTATCACATCAATGTCCTCCCCCCCCCCTCTTTCTCTCTCTCAAATCAGTTTAAAAAACATATTTTTGAGAGGGGGTTAAAAAAAAGAAGAGGCCAATCCACTTGTATGTGGGTGTGCATTAGGTTGATACGGGGTTATTTTCTATGCTATCAGCTCTATTTGCTTTAACTGGCTAGTAGGAGGGTGAAGGATAAGTAGGTCATCTTGGTGTAAAGGACCTGAGATGAAGTAGGCAGACCTAGGGATTAGGGTTCTTTACAGTTAACACATTCCCAAAGTTCTTCCCATTCCCAATAGTCAAGCCAAATGGGCCAGTCAGCATTCACAAAGATACCTCCTGCCTTCCCAATTTTTTTGCCTATTCTCTTACTATTTTTTCAGTAGAAAGTAACTTCCAATTTTTTTCACTTTCTGAAAACTTGCTTTCCCTTTAAAAACTCATTCTAAGTAACACCACATCCATGAAGTCCTCTTGGATTTGCTTGGCTGGCAATGATTATCTCCTCCTAAGGATTCTCACAACACTATGTTTCTCTTTTTGCCTCTCACCTTGTAATGAAGATTTGTAACTTGATGTGTGATCTGTTCAGATGCAGAGACCTACTTCTAAACTGTTTGATTTACCACCTATAAACAAACAGTGCATTGTTGCATCTTGAATTACTTAATTAGCTGTTTGATTTAATACAAGATTTTTGACCTGCATGAACCTCATATTCCTTACCTATAGAATGAGATAACAATACCTACTTCCCAGTGGTTCTGAAGATGAATTGAAATAACATACGTAACGTACCCAGCACTGCCCCTGGTTCTAAGTATTGATTGGTAACTAGGAGAGTAGTTTAAGTCAGAATCCATAGATCACATACTCTGACTCAGAAATGAACTGGAAGAAACCTGTGTTCTTCTACACAGAGGAAGGAAGCCTTGTTTTTAACAGTTGTATCTGAATGCCTTTCACATTTTAAGCTGTTTTATAGTCAGGAAGCTGTGGGTGCTTATTAGATTATCTTTTGATGGCCCCAAGGATGAGTTGTCCTGGAAAGTCCAGAATGTGGGAGCTTGGCCTCTGGAGGACCTAGATGTTTCTTATCGAATACTGGGGCCACCAAGTCATCATCCTCTCATTCTCTCAGCAGACTGTTTTATCTTTGCCTTTTGACATTAAAGGCAGAAAGACTATTCCACAACTCACTTCGAAGTCCTCCCAGTCTCAGAACACATGTGCCTCTGACCCCAGCTTAGCTTCAAGGAGGTCATCCCTCTGAGCCACTAAGCCAACCACGTTCAGTCTAACTTTGCCTCTAATTGTGCAGTGACCCTTCTCGACATTCAGGAGAAACTTCAGACTAATCAGATTAGAAAATGTCTCATTCCCATTCCCCTCTCTCTCCAATATGCCCTGCCACGATTTGGGTCACATGCTTGGTGTTTTGCATCATCTCTGCAGATTCCTTTCAAAGACTGCCCTAATTCCTAATGGGCCCATCAGCCTGCAGCTTTCATTTATATTCTGCATTCTTATTGTTCCCCATAGACTCCACAGGGCTTTCCAGAGCCTTGACTAGACTCTCTTTTTGCTTAGCCCTCCTGTGGCATGCTAAGCAGAGCCCCTCTGACGTCTAGGGTCTCCCGTGGGAGGCAGCCGTGGAGTTTGTTGATTTGGTTCAATGCACACTCTGCCCAGGGGAAGCTTTACCTGCCTTGGGATAGAGCTGGGCAACTGTTGAACAGCCATATAGCCCTGAATTCATATCAGGAGACAAAAAACAATATGCCTAATAGTTTGGATGCGTTCTTTCACTCAGTGATTGTTACCCATGTGTTTCTCCTGACCCTATGTTTTGGTACTAAATTTCTACTCTATTTCTACTTTTCTTGTTATTTAGTAGTTATTTTTCTTATTAGCACAACTCAAGCTGGAATCAGGACTTCAAAATATTTCCACACCTGGGTACCCCAGCCCCCATCAGTTTGTGCTGTGGTAGCTGGTTTGAGGTCACCTTACCAAATGAAGTCATTTTACTAATGCACAGAGCATCAGACAAATGTCTATGTAGTGGTACCTATTACTCACTAATAATAGGAATAACACTCTGTATCGACATAGTGCCAAGGGCTCTAGAATATTTTGTAAATCCTTGAGCATATTAAAAGGAACATTTTAGTTGATAGCAGGTATGATTTCTTATTTCATAAATAGAAACATTGATGTATAAGAAGGTTCTCTCAGTGAAAGAGTGTGCTTCTGGCCAAGATGAATCTCTAATGGAATTAGAATGACAACTTCCTAAGATACCCAAATCTTTGTTCTTATCTGAGCTCCTAGGGGTAGGGACTATGTCTCATTCATCTTAGCAGCCTCAGGAACTTGTCCTATACTAGTATGTTGGGCCGGGGAGAAAAAAATAGGCTTCATTTCTACCAGACCTGTATCTGAAATACAACTCTACTACCTCCTTCTTATGTGAACCTTATAAATAGAGTCAACCTCTCTGAGCCTTCATTTGCATATTAATATTTCCTCAGTACTAACAAGAAATTCTGGTTCTCAAACCGGAACAAGAAGAGAGTATTCTGAGGTCATTCAATTCTGTGTTCCTTGTGGGACTGGGGACTAAAGAGGTAGCCTCCTTCCCTAATTGCGGCCTTCTGAATTGAGACTTGGAATAGTTGGAAATTTAAGCGCAACTCTTTCCTCAGCAGCTCTGCCCCAAGCTAGTCTTTTAAAGCTGGCTTTGGGCTCCATGGAATGCCTTAGAATTGGCCTCCCAAGAGAGCTGCTGCCTCATCCAGAAATATCAGTTAAAATGGAAAAAGTTAACAGGGCTTTAAAATCATCTCATTATACTCTACCCAGCCTCACCCCATGCTCCCCTTCCAGAGGCATCGTTTAGGCTCAAGTGATTTCACCAACAATACCTGGCAGTAAAGCTGAGGGACAGGGTTGAGCTATGCAGCAGCTATTGTTGCAGTGTTTGGTACACTGGGAAGTTTTCACAGAGGAGGCCCCATCTGTCTCTCTATCTCTGCCCCTCCCCTTCCCTCCCCTCTTTTCTCTCTTCTTTCTCTTCTCCCTCTCCCTCTCTCCGTTCCACGCTTTCTACCTTTTCAAATATAAGGTGATTTGTAGTTTAAGAAATTTTTTTAAATCCAAAATCATGTGGACCAACAGAACATTGATTGTGTGTACAGTCTGTACTTGGCAGCTGTGACTTGCCTCACAGAGGTGAACTGTGCTGGTATCACATTTGAAATTTACAGGCCTGGCTATTTGAGACAACCAGAGTTACTCGTTGGCAACTTGGGCAATATCAATTTGCCAACTCTACATGCTTGTGTCGCTATGGCACAATTGCACAGTGCTCCACTTTTTTCTCAAGATTCTGGTTTTTAAGAATCTCACCAGGTGTTTCAGTGTACACCTCTGGGCTTTCTGGGTAATTAAATGAAACCAAACACAATTAAGTGAATCCAAAATGTGTCTTCATTGCCCTCCCTCTGTTCCTGGTCATGCATCCAGCCCATTCCTCTAAGTTATAAGATGGCCTTTGCAGCAGAGGGGAACCCATATTAGTCTTCAGCAAAATACAGATGCTGCTGTGCCTTTTCCCTGCACAGATGGTGGAAATAAAGCAGATCAGTGTTATTTCCCATGACAAGGAGATGGATGGCTTCTGAAGTTTTCAAGCCAGT